AGTAAAATTTCTTAATTAAGGAATATTTGTTCACTTTTTGAAGAACAGTATAAGAAATGTTTTATAGTGTCTGAAGTTTTCGTCGGTGGGATCAAGGGTTTGATTAAGGAAATTTTGTGCAATTCATTAAGGAATATTTTTTTCCTGATTAAGGATTTCTTATTTACATCACAGACTAATCTTCTACACTTATGATGAAAGAATTGTTGATATAGATTATTCTTACCTCATATGAAGTAAAAATAACATCAAAATAGTCTAAGTGCGTTTTCCAGTAATTTAAGACCATGCTTTACACCCGTATAATGCTATTGAAGTTTGGGGGTCCTTTGTGCTGGGGGGAACTATTCATTGGATTCCAGGGGCCGGATTCACTAACATACGATCGTAACGCATTTACCAGCGGTCATTTACCATTGCGTTTACCAGTCATGGCAAAGTGGTATTCACGAAGAAATGGTAATTTGGATATGCTGAGTTACAATCGTAAATCGACTCATTCTAATGGTAGCCAACAGAGGGCTCTAGTAAAGCAATTCCACCAATCAGCGAGCGCCATACATAATCTTTTAGGTTCCTTCGGCCAATCACGTAACATGTAAACAGAACTAGACACAGCGAGATTGTTTAAATAATCGTCAGAGCTAAAACACTATTTAAGCACATGTAGAAAAAAGAATATATTTATTTGATTACATCCATCATGCTGGATATATATTTACTGTATAGATAGGAACCAATACAAACACTGTTATATTAATAATTATTGTTAACTCAAACCAAAGAGACAGTCCAAACAGCTTTTTATTTATATATTTTTCATTGCCAGTTTATATATCAGCAAGGTAGTTTTTTCTATAGCATTTGTAATAATTATGTCAGAGATTTTTTTTTTAAAGTTCACTTATTTATCGGTTCCATGCATTCTAGTATAATGTAGGCCTATAAGTTTACGAGAATTTGTGTGGATTTTATTCTTGCTAGTTTCATGTGAAATTTGCATTTCTTCACTATGTCCGCATTGTGATATCTGTTTGCCATCATATTAGTTACATCAGGTGTAAAAACAAACCCAAAACTTTGCATAGATATTGATTTTTGACGAGATAACACGTGATGACATCGTCTTCCAGAAGTTACCAGACCACTGGTAAAATTTACCATGCTAACTCCAGTGGCGAGTTGTTAGTGAATACCACCGCGGTCTGTTTACCATGGTAACTATTGTTACCAGTGATTTTACCATCGTAAGTGCGTTAGTGAATCCGGGCCTAGATTTTGGTCATCTTAGTCAGCTGAAATGTTTCCTGTGTTGATTCTCTGTAGAATTGCATAACAGCTGCTGCCGCCTCACGAAGTGTGTAACTATAATGGTAAAGATATGTGCACATTTCAGTTTTATTGTGGATGGTTGTCTATGCAGTTTACGTTACTCCGTGTTATGCATTTGATACCATTTTATCAAACTTTTTTTCGCTGCTAGCTATGGACGCCTTGCTTGGCTGGTTTGTTTGTTGGTTAGCAGGATAATTCAAAAATTTGACTAGGTTACCAGAGGTATGTCTTAGCCTAACAGATTCCATTCAATTTTAATGGTGATCCGGATCATGTTCCGGATCCTGGTTTTTTTTTTTTTTTAATGATAGCATCGGTTACCTCTTTTGACAAGGCAATAGGGGTAACATTATTATTCATCATTACTTCTATTATCTACGTCAAGGAGATCGTTTATAGAAACCAGTGTAATGAAAAAGTGATTTTAATGTAATTCTTCAAGTGTGAATATTTTTGTTGCATCTGTGACCCTATTACCTTGCCGAAGGTATGCGTTCTCTGATCGCTTCTAATTTAATTTTGTTCTTTCTTTCTTCTTTCAACTTTTCTTGTGTACAATGTCAGCGTACGGAGGTAGAGAATTGCAGTGTGCGTGAAGTTTTATATATCTTGCGTCAGTATGTCCATATGCATGAAGAACTTTCTCCTTGGCATGTTTACTACACCCAATTGCATGATAATTCCTAGTTCCTTAACCTGTTCTATGTTAATCTAAGGGTTGGGTTGACAAAAAAGGTCAGTTTCTTCAAAATATCGCACCGGTCCAGGATTTGTTATCGAAGGTGGAATATAATATATTTAATACTACAATATAATATATTTAAACATCCTCATTGAAGAAATTAGATTTCACTATTAAAAATCAAGTTTAATATTTCAAGATCGTTCATTAGACAGACAAGTTTTATGCAATATTCAGCTGTATTGAGAACTTGTCAGTAACATTGCGTCATTGTTTAGCCTCGTTATCATTCATACAGACTGTAGGTAGGGGCGTCATTTCAGAGGGGGACAGGATAAATATATAAACATACATGCATGCATACAAAAGCGCACACACACACACACACACACACACACACACACACACACACACACACACACACACACACACACATATACATATAATATATATATATATATATATATATATATATATATATAT